GAGGAGGAACTTGGTAGATATATATATATATATATATATACGTGGCAAGGAGAGGACCTCGGGATCTTGATGGTTTCGCTTTGCAGAGGCGACGGTTACGAGGTGCGTTGGTGTGCGGGTCCGAGAGAGGAGCGGGCCGGCGAGAACGGGCGGGCGGAGAAACGACAGGGAGGAGGAGGACGGAGATGGAGAGTCGCGGAGAGGCGGTGGAGGGTGACGGAGATGGAACGAAGGGTGGCGGTGCGGGAGGGAGCGCGGAAAAAGGGAGGAAAAAAAAAGAGAGACAGGTACGCGTAGAAGGAGAAATATACAGGCAACGCTTGGAGAGCACACGGGCGACCGGAGAGCGAGAGCGAGAGATAGGGAGCGAGTGAGCGAGCGAGAAAGAGAGAGAGATGTGGTCGCAGGAGGCGGTGGAAGCGGAGGAGGAGTAGCAATCAATACAGAGCCACCGGAGCAAAACCATCCCTCGACTTCTATCTCCCTCTCTCCACCGTTGCTCCATCGTTTTCGCGCTCTATCTATATCTTGCTCCGTCTCTCTCTCTCTCTCTGTTTCTCTCTCGCCCGTTCGCTATCGCGCCTTCCTCCGTCTTCCTTCGTCCGTTTACCATCCTCCCTCCCTTTCTATCCATCTTTCTCCTTCTCTCGCTCCGCGTGCACCCCCTAACTGCCACGAATACGACGGTTATATGGATGCTATAGAGCGTCGCTAACAGGGACTTTCCTACGCTTCCACTCGCCTCTCTCTCTCTCTCTCTCTCGCTCTTTCTCTCTCTGCGTGTATCGCGCATAACACACACACGCGCGCGATCCGGTTCCGTGGAGAGCGCCCGTTTCTGGCCTGTGTGAGAGCACGGCATCTCTCTCCGTTTCTCTGTTTCTCCGTGTGGTAGTTACCTGCGATTATGAGCGATCGTGCGTGCGCCAGCAGCGGACCAGATACGCTCGTTCCGTAAGCGAAACGAGGTTTGGATTTGGCTCGACGAGACGAGACGAGACGAGGGTTTCTCGTCTGAAATATATAGAGAGGGGGATGCGGTGACAATGATTCGGCTTTTCTTTTCTCTTTTTCGCTTTGCCACGTGAAAAATCTTGGAACGAGCCATTGGAACGCGCGTCCCTAACTTTTTAATTTTACAAATACGTTTCATTCAGCTTCGTAAGCGCGATTCGAATTTTTTAATATTCTACTATTTTACGTAATAAGATAAGAATTATATAGATCGAAAAAAAAAGAGAGAGAGAGAGAGAGAGAAAACAAATCAAGACGCCGTTCGTCATTGTCAAAAGGAGGAACAATACCGAGCTCTCGAACCGATAATTACGCAGCGCGGTTCGATGCTGTGCGCATAATTCAAGGGCGAGGAGAAAGGTTCGCTCGGTTGGACGTTCACGATCCCCGTGAACTTGGATCACCGCAATACCGTGGACCTTGACTCTCTCTCTCTCTAGCTAAACGCTTCGATCATTGCGTAAATTACCTTTCGTTCGATCTCGACGAGCATGTATATAACAACACGTAAATAAACATTAGCTCGAACATTTTACTCGAGGAAAATTGAAATTCCTTATTAATAAGATGGGAATAATCCTATTGGAGAATTAAAACTCTCTATTATTCTCAAGATCGATTTTCATTCGGGATCCGCGCTTCGATCGTTCTCCAAGATCGAGCCACTCGAGGATCATTGAAATTATTATATAACGAGAGGTGATCGATTTATTTAAAAAAGAAGAAGAAAAAAAACGACGAGGGATCGAATACGAAACACAAGAGGGATGATTTTACGAAGAAGATGAAAGATACTCGGATACTCACGATTAATTACAGGACCTCAACTCATAGTAAAAGCCGACTCCACGAGGCCCCATCACACCTGAAACAGAGAAATACGTTTCCTCCATTAATATTTCCACCATCGTCGAGCCGTCTCCTATGCGATCCCCGTATCACCTCGACCCTCGACCAATTACAATGCAAACACGCGGCCATTAAGAAGTCACTCCATCCACATTTGCATCTGTTAACCGAACAGTTTTCCACTCGTTCGTTTCGCGCCATTATATTTCCCCGATTGATTCTTTCCCTTTCTCCTCCTCCTCCTTCTCCTCCTCGACAATTTTCGACAAACGAAACGCAGATCCGTATAAGCTATTCATCGTCGATTCGAAATTCCTTAAAAATCTCGAGCAGAAAAACGAATTTGGCTCAAAACGATTTTTCCTCCCCTGGATTTAAAAGAATTTAATTCAGAATTGGAAAGATCAACGGAAACGAAGAGTCGGTTTCCTCGATCGAAACTTGGTATATTATTTATGGAAAATGGTTGAAATGAATATTAAAGGTGCACGCGATCGGGCGAATACACCGATAAACAATATGTTACAACGCGCGCACACGATCCTTCGATTTGAACAGGTTTAACGTATTGATTTCCCATGCTGGATATCAATGAATGAAACAGACGTGCTGTTTACGTGCAACAAGGTATACAATAGTGTGCGCACGATTATCGCCATTCATATTCACGTAGCATCCATTTCGCGGGGGATTACAAGCGAAACTACTCCTGATAAATATTTATACGCGATGGAACGGCGCGGCGTATGCAACCGAGGGTAAATGTTTAATTTCACCGTGTTCCAGAAGTTGGCGGTGCAAACAGACCAAGTTCCCGTTTCCAGGGGGAGGGAGAGAAAGTTGAAGGATCGCTAATATCGAAAATTCGTGGACATCGAGGGAACCACGAAACTGTCGAACGCCGTTTCGAAGAGAAGATCGGCCGCTGTGATTACGGCCACGAATATCCTTGGTTAATTAATATTTGAACTCGAAAATAATAAGAGTAATAGAAAAATCGAAACTCTCAAATTTCGAAGAATAAACCTTGTTTAAAAAGTTGGCAATAATTCGCATATAAATTTATTCCAAGAATTCCACTACGATTGAAGCATTCGTATTTTCTTTAAAAAATAACGATACGAAACGAATGCCGATTATTGTCCGCTAATAGAAGCGCGAAAAGAAAAGTTGCGAGGAGAAAATCTGGATCTCATAATGCCTCCTTCCTTCCTTCCTTCCTTCCTTCCTTCGTTCGGATCGTATTAACGAACGAAAGTAATACCGCAAACGCAGTAAATTGATTTCGAAGTGGAAACGCGAGCGAGAGGGGTAATATTTGTCGAGGGTCGGCCAGTCGTCCGTGTATCGGCGTTCGTTAATACGAAATCAATATTACCACCGGTCGCCTCCGTCGTCTCCGTTTTCGACGGCCGTTCAAATTTTTCGTCCCGCGAAACGATACGCGTTCGTTGGCTATTCTCGATCGAGTTCTCGTTCCGTTCCGGAATCGGCCGAGTGGCGAAAGTATCCTCCGTTATCTTTTCGCGGAAACTTCGAATTCTATCCATCCCTCACGATTCGAATATCAAGGTGGAAATATAAAGAAGGATGGGATAGAGCTCGGCGACGAAGGACATAAATCATTGCTTTCTCTCATTTATAGATGTCAGAGGGGAGGGAAGGGGCATTTTTTTCGCTATAAAAATAGTCATACGGAAGATGGTAATCTATTTTAACGGTTTAAGAAAACGATTCTCTTTTCGCAAACAAAAAAAAGTTTATTTTGTATTATTTTAATAGATATATTTATTATAGCAAGCGTCGATTAAGAACGAGAAAGTTTCGAAGAATTTCAAAGGAGGCGATAATTAACCGAATCCCAATATGGCGTCGGAATGAGCCGCCGAGGTGTATAAAATTCAACGTTTGAAAAGAACGAGGAAGACGAAAATTGAATGGCTCGGCCGGATAAATAGCTACCTTATAAATAGCCCGGTTCTGGCACATTACGCATCGGCGCAATGGCTAATAAATACGCGGAAAATTTAGTGGCCGACGATTTACATCGTTCGCGCGTTAAATAGAATTCCCTGTCGTTTTATAACTTCTTTCTGCCCCCGATATCGTGCTTCCACTCTTTCGACCCGTTGACACCCGTTATCCCAAAAACGGAACACCATCAGATATCGATCTATCCTAGTATTTTCACCGTTTTTTCAAAACCGGTCGATAAATCTCGGCCGAAAATGCGCGGGAAAATCGAAAGATTCCCTCGGTCGATAATGCAATTTTAACGCGGCAAATTTAATTACCCTTAAATCGCGAACGGAATTATATCGTTTTATAACTCGAGTTCACCAAGGTATTAATAAATTGATATATAGAAAATTGGTGGAGCGACGAACGGGGGTACCTCCTGTAAACCCACCGTCTGGATATAATCCAAATTTTCATCCCGTTAACCAAATTACCGGGAGGCAAGGGTGGAGATTGGGACGCGATGTACCGTCACGTAACGGTATTACGCGAATGGGCTCTAATTTCTCGCACGACGCCACAAGAAATCCGCGGGAATTTCGCGGAACACGTCCCCGATATTCGTGCGAACCTTCAACGGGGATCACAGCGGATTTCGATTACGCGAAACACGTCGCTGTTGCACGAAAGCGACGAAACGTGCAAGTGTATAACCTGTTCGAATTTGAAACCGAACAGAAAAGTTTTTGAATTGGAAAATTTGAAAATTAAAATTTGGAAATTATCGAAGATTTAAATCGGAGGCTCGAATTTTTACGAAATTGCTCGATAATTGTTCGAAGAGGGGACGAGAATTAAATTCTCGTAATCGAAATCGAAACGCTGGCAGTGCATTCGTTCGAAGTGCATTTTCTCCTCGCCACGACGACCGAGTTTCGAGTTAGGGGGCCTATGCATCTCAAAGAAGCGGCGCGAACTCGGCCACTCGACTAATCAAATCACGAAACTAACTCATTTGCGTTAATTGAAACGGTGGAGGCTCGACGGGGTTGGTACGGTCACGAGTTCGATTCGTATCGAGACCAGGGGAAAAGATGCGTTTGTTTAATTAATTGGCTCCCCTTTGAGCCACTTTCCCCGTACCGACGAACAATTACCCAGGATTTTGACGCGTCTGCGCTTCCTCGATCGATTATCAAGTATCGTTAATTAACGAAGAATCGTTGTCCCATCCATCGATGAAAATTCTGATCTAACTTAATATCAAATTTCTTACTTTTGAAAAGGAACAAGACTCTTTTTTTATTTTTATTATTATCATTATTATCCCATTTCAATAATCGAGAAAAATAAATCGAAAGAAATGGCAAGACGATATATATATACATTGGAAATCCACAAAAAAGGAAGATTAATTATTATTAGTACAATTATTTATCTAGTCTATTCGAGCGTTGCGGTAATTCGAGGCGTTTGTTACTGTTAGAGGCGTATGCATTATTCATACGTTATGCAAATCGGAATTGGCGTGGCCGCGCCGTGTGAACGCGTTACGTGAAAAATACGATAATGCGTGGCCCGAGAATATACGCCGTGTCGCCTGAAATGAACGAAAGTAGTTTGTTCCAGAGGACGCTGTTCGCGCGTTTATGCAATTAGTCTTGGAAAATGGTCGGTCCCCCTCCCCGTTAATCTTTATCCCGTGTTTT